TGCAAACCTGGCAATACAAAATTAATTTCCACAGTAGTCAGATTTTCAGCAATAGAACATCAAAACTAGTAAAAACATGTTTTTGTTTTAGTCTCGTAAAACTCAAATGCATCACACAGGCATGACTGAACAAAGCACACACAGTTAATCCTGCTCAATTTAACATCTTTTATCTACAAGTTAGTTGTGTAAGTTCACCAAAAGAATTTCCCAGTAAGATTACAGTTGTATTTTATTGGTGTTTTTTTCTCCCCAGCACTCTCCTGCAGTTTACACAGCACCTCCAGCATTTTGAAGGAATCCAGGGACAGCTGTACTGCATGAAACCAAACAATCTTGTACCTAAGCGTCATGGCTATAACAGCTGAAGCAAGTACATCAGATGCAATCCTGCTGTCCATCAATAGCACAGAGGCAGTTCATAGATCATGGAGTACCTCCAAAGAACAGTGACATTAAAGTTAAATTCAAATTTCTGCTAAAATTCTGGCAGTAATAAATCTTCCAGTGAAGAACCACACTCCAGATGCCAACTGTCAAAAACCAGCCACCAAAAGCACAGCCTTCAAAAGCAGTGACAAACAGCAGGTGAACTTCAAAGATGTACAGACAACTGAAGGAGGTGAGTGCTATTCAGTGAAAAGCTAACGTGGCAAGGCATAAACCAATGTTTGTAACATTTCACTCTAGCAGTTACCTGCTCAAGATAAGGGAGTCAAAAGAACTGCAAGCAATTTGCAGAATAAGGCCTTTGGGCCCAATCTCTCCCATCCATTTCAGTGGAAGTCAAATTATAGGCTTATCCAATAATTCATATAGATCACTTGCAAAAATACCAAATAACTCCCTGAGTAGTAGGTACACAATTTTCTTCAATGAATGCACGTAATTATCACTTAGGGCAAAAGGAGCAAGCATACATCCTACTACAAGAGACTTTTCTCCTCCCACCACATGCACCATAAACACCATAAACTGGTAAGTTTAATTTTTCCATAAAACAAGTCACAAGGGGACTCCTGTTCCTTGCTTAAAATCTACAACTGCTAAAGGGCTTGGAGTAGATGGTAAAATGTCAATTTAATTTTGGTTTTGCTGTTATTTAATCACTCAAGACACTCCTATGGTTTATTTAATCAGAAGTCTTTCCAGAGTTTCAAATCTGATATGCTAATCAAAGCCTTGCAGCACATCTATTTTTCTCTGCACATCTACTTAGCTGTATTTTATGTGTATAAACACACACCTCTTCCTGTACAGTCACATTTTACTGCTTCTCTATAAAAAGTTAATGTCTTGCAGAGGTCTTCCTATTTCTCAAATTTTAAAGAGTTTCGAAAAAATCTGTCTGAGCAACACTCTCCCAAGTATTTATAAGTTTTTCTGAGCACATATTTTTGTATGATATGCTGCTATATACTGGAACAAAAATTGCTTTGTTTAACATGTTAGAACTTGTTAGCCACTTGGCTAATATAAAACCTTCAAGATCTTTGCTGGTTTTGATTGGCTTGTTTAGTAAAATGAAACACAGATACAACATATTTGCAGAATGATACCACAGTTCTATTGACTTGGCTTGTGCCTTTGGACTCGGCTAGCATGAAATTCCTCTGAGCAAGCTTTTCCCCACTCTCCTCTGTTTTTCTTTTAATCAGTTGTTATGGATTACCGGCAGCAGTTAACAGAAATACAACACAACCAGTCATGGAGTTAAAATGACACTTCCTTTCGAATAAGCAAGAAAGTAGTAATTACTTTTCTGGACTAAATGCAAACCATCCAACTATCTACTAAACACAGACACCTACAGTTATGGCAAGTTATTTTTCTATTGCTATCAGAAAAGCCACTGACTCACCATGACTTTCAGCACAGTTCAGTCACAGATGTTTATTATTATCATCATTACAGATAAACATACTAGATATGTAAAGACTGACAACCGTAAGGATCAGAAGAGACTTTTAGGCCACAGAGGCCAGCCTCTGGTACATCACAGGCCACAATATTTCAGCAAGCTGCTCTTGTGTTGAGCTCAACAACTTAACAGTAACAATTGTCAAAGAAACCCAAACCATCTCAGTGTGAAGACATGGAAAGACAGAAAGGATTCTCCATCTCTGCTACTTCTGTTTGTAGTCTGCTCCAAGCGTTACTCATCCTGACTCCTTATAATTTGTGCTTTATTTCCCATTCTAATTTGCCTGGCTTTAGATCCCAACCATTAGTTCTTGTAATAACTTTCTGCACCAGATTAAACAAGACTAGCATTTTCTCCATATGAAAATGAAATTTTTGTAAACAAGCTCTTATTTTTTAATTCTCTACTGTTTTGACAATCATGTTCTGGCAAAACTTGCTAGACTGACTTAAGGCATCACCACTTGCCTCTCTGCTGCATCGCCAGAAAAGAGAAGGTGCCGACACCAAGCTGGTCCCAGCTATAACCCATCTTGTTACTTTAAGCAGAAAATGACCAGTCCAGAGTAAAATACACTATTGTGCTGGAAGGCACTTGCTCCCCTCCTGTCAACTTATCCTGATGGATGATGTCCATCACCCCATTCTAACCCCTACAGCCCTCCTACTCTCCACTCTGTGTTCTGCAGTCCCCCTTGGGCTGCCCCTGCAGTTCATTTACATTCTTTTAAGCACAACAGAACCAGGTCTGTACCTACAGCCTAACATCCATCTTCCCAGTGCCACATGCCAAGGTAAAAGCAGGCCTGGTTCTTACAAATGCCTTGATCCTCACTTAGATATGCAAGGGCAGTAACCTAATTTGCCTAACAGTACCATGATATGAGCTCTTAATGAGCTGCAAGTCTTCATTAATCCCTAAATAAACCCTTAAATTATACTAAATTCTTTCCAGCATACAGTTTCGTTTTCGTAATGTGCAGCCTGTGTTCCTTGTCACTACAAGCTGAACATTGTATTTAGCTGTTTAAAAAAACCCCAACTTGTTAAATAGTCCAACTGTGTCAAGCAATTCATACGACTGTCCTACTTTCTCCATCATTTCCCATTCCACTGAGATTGATTCCATTACAAGATGTAGTAGTACTGTTTTTAAGTTTTCTTTCAAAAAGGCTAGCAGCTAGCAGCAGGTCTAGCACACACTCCTGTGTAATCCCACCAGATATATACTATGCAATAAAGATACTTCACTGGCCACTACTGAGATCCGCCAGTCAGTTGACTTCTCAAATTGTGCATTACTGACACTGCATAGCACCGGTTTTACTTGTCTTTCTGTATCTTTTGATATGAACAAATAGTAGAAATAAAGAGAACATTACAAACAGTCACTGAATAGAAGGAATAAATCTCCAACCATCTTATAAAAATCATGAGATCCTTCCACATTATTACAGACAGCAACTTGCTTAACCACGATCACACATGCTCATCACATCACTAAGCATGACATAATCATGCTAACTTGGTTGCGTCAGCAGTGCAGGAACTTTGGTGTCTGATTATGTATATTATCCCTAGTGCTGTTCTGCTGTCCTCCAGCTTATAACTGCCTTCCTAAAATACTTTTGAGGGTATTGTACACAAGTTAGATACAGTCATGCTGGAACAGCGGTCCAGTAACTGCTCTTCATCACTACACTGGTGTCTCCTCACTGCTACATCAGCAGCAGTGACCAGTGGGCAGACCAGAGCATGGGGAGGACCACATACACTGTGTCTATGCCAGGCCTGTACATAGCTGAGGGTCAAGAGGATTTTTAGGCAAACCTAAAAATCTTTTTTAAAAATAAAAACAACACTTAAACCGACCTTAGCTGGGAAGGGTGCAGTAAGATAACTGCCTTTTCCCACAAGATTGCCAAGGACCCGTCCATCTTTCCAGGTGCACAGGACACCGCGAGGGAAGATGACTGGTAGAACGGTTAGACTTAAACTGCACCGCAAGATGAGACCAAGCTGAAGTGTGGCTATGACTAACCCAGAGCTAGTGGAGCCCCAGACCAAAACCTGCAGCAGCAGGCAAGAGACAATGCTGAGCAACATGCTAAGCCTATAGTGCACATATAGATGCAAACCACTGCACTTAAAAGCCACCAGATGCAAAAAGGAGAAGACAGAAGCAGGCAAAGACAGTGAACACTACCTCTTCCTATTTAGCAACATGCCCAGCAGTATCAAAAGGAAATTACTAGCTCCACAGGTGCAGCTAGCTCTCCTCCTCCTCAGAGAGGAGCAGAGAGGAGCTGCTATACAAGAAAAGGTGGGTAGGACAGTAAAGAGTAAAACAATAATGTTTTAAATGAGAGACACCCTGGGTTGCCCCCCCCAGTATGTCTTTATTGTAACATTATCCAGTTACAGGGTTTGTAATTAGAAGAATAAAAAGCCCAAGGCAGTTTACTTCAATTAGCAGACAGAAGACACTAGGAAAGAATTTCTGCCCTTGTTTCTGCAGCACAGCAAATTGAAAAAGTAAACTCTTACCTCTTTTTCTATTTTGAGCAGCTTCTTTACAGCCACCTCCTTGTCCTGAGAAATCCATCGGGCTCGGTAGACACTCCCGAAACTTCCTCCACCGCAGTTCTCAAAAAACTGCAAGTCATCAAATTTAATTTGCACAAATGAAGCACTGGTAGACGACATCTCATAATGACAAAATATACCACAGCAAAACCTGTGAAGAGAAAAGCTTTCATTAGCACATATGCTCCACAGAGGACGGATTTTCTTACCAGCACTCAAGACACCCCAAAACCAGGACCCAGCACCATAAACATGCTACAGTAAAATCCACAGGGCACAGGAGGAGAGCCTGGGAACTCTCACTCCAACAGGCTGTGCAAATGTTTGCATAATTTGCAAGGGCTATTAGGAGCAGCTGGGACACAGAAACAACTAAAAGTATTCCTCAGTGCGATACCGACGTTTCCCGAACACCTCGGACGCGGCTCTGGGAAAGGCAGGCGCGTCGCTGCCTTCCCCGGACAGCAACAGACGGGAAACTTGCTCTCCGCTATGAGTTTGCCTCGGAGCTCAGGCATGCCAGGCACGCCGGATCTCCCGCCGCGATGGCCGCGCACAGGGCGCGCAGGCAGGCAGCGGCACCACAGCCCGCACCACGCGCGCTGCCGGCACTCCGAGCTGTGCTTCGCGCAAGGATGTGGAAAAACCTGGCCATGGTAAATGCCTCTTCCGGAGTGACTCAGTTCTGTTTGCATGTTATAACACAGGGCAAGTACGCAGTAATTCATCTGGGTTACAATATGTGAAATTCTGCAGCCTGTGCCAAGACCGGTGTCGGCAGTTTCAAGAGATGATCCCATGTCTGCTGCAAGAGGAACAGAACGTCCTTCTCAGGGATTTCACAGCAATAAAGCTTACGCTGTAGCAAATTTCAAGAACATTTTCACCTAAATGCACGAACAAAGAGTAATTTCAGGTTTCTTTTTTTTTAATAGTGTAAATTCAGAAAGCCTCAGGTCCTCAGTGGGCCTGCAGGATAGGGCACCTTCCAGAACCAGCAGCGAGCCTGCTGCCGGACTCTTTCTGATGCATCCGTTTAGACCGAGTTTACTTCCCTTAATTTTGCAATAAATGAAAGTAAACTTATCAGCATAAAATGAGAATGATTTGAATAAAACAAGTTACAAAAAGGCATGGAGATTCTGAATTGCTGATTTTATGTCCAGTTATACTGGTCTAACTATTGTACCAAAGCATACTGCATCTTCTGGAAGCCTCCAATCCATAGGGGGGTTTGAGATGGAATCTACCCATTATGTGTTGCCCATTGCTGGGAAATGCATCTGTAATACAACTAGCGCTGCTGACCACCAAAACCCCTTTACACCAGTCCCTTCTGTAACAAATACAGACATCATTCCCTCCCCCCCTCACTGGCTCACCTGACTGTGCAGCTAATCTGATTAAAATTGTGAGGTATCATTTGACCAGAAATTTCTGGCACTATCTGGTTGCAGCTATTCTCCCAATGAGAAATGAAGGCACCAACATTTTCCTACATATTGCATGAGATAACAGAGCCCTTTCTGAATCTGCCCACTTTGCTTTGTATCAATTCACCACCTGTAAGGGTACCAGACCACCACAACTTTACTACGTTTACAGAAGGCAACACATTAAGGAGGAAGCAGACTTCAAGCATGCCTTTCACTGACAATCAGCCTGCAAAACTCTCAGGGAGGGAAGAGGAATGCTCTTTCCCCAGCTCTGTGAGTCAGAGCAAGGGTTACCCGTGCGACATGAAATAAAGTTCCTTCTTCCAGTACCCTGCCGGCTCCTTCCCCAGTACAAGTGCCTGCACTCTTCCGCTGACCTTTTGTTCTTTTTAACCTGGTTGCTGTTGTTGTTAGGTTTCCTGCCATCCCAGAGTCATCTTTTGCACTGCACTGCACATACTGTTTTCAGAAAAAGCTCAAGAGAAAGGAAATCAGTCACTCCTGCAAACCAGGAGGGTAGCAAAGCTTGGTTTAACTTTCTGCTCTTTCCCGGCACTGTTCAATCAGCACATCTTCAGGAACAGGAGCTCATTTGCCTTGATTACTCCAGCTCATTTACTCCAGTAGCTGCCCCAAGTCAACATCATGTACATGCTGTCTCAAGCGTATGTGACACTTTATAGGCAAATACAACAGGTCAGCTTCCCAATTCAGAGATCTAACAACTTAAGGCCACAGCCCTGCAGACGTTTATGCACGTGGATAATTATGCTCCAGTGAATAATCTCCTTACTGACAACAGAATTATTCAGAAGAATAACGTTACTCATAGGCAAAAGCATATGCACTGACTGGACCATAACTCTGACAGGAAAGCGTGAACAGCTGATAACAGATGGTTGCGTTTGGGATGACAGAAGGAACAGAAAACCAAGCACAAAGAAAAACACATCACAGGAAACAAATATTTCTGGCTTCTCTATCTGAATCCAATAGTTCTGAAGAGCTGCCAAATTATTTTAAATTATTGCTCATCCAGAAGAACCAAATCATCCATATACACAAGTAAATGTTGACTTCTGAGAGGCTAACACAGAACAAGATGTTACTCCAAGATTCCACAGAAACACTGACCTCAAGATGGTACAATGTGTACGCCAGACACTTGATAAATGCGAGTACTTTCTGATGGGTCCTCCTTGCTGCTTAAAACTTTACCTAAACATCTATGCACAATGCAGTGTCCAGCACACAAGCATTTGCAGGAGCTGCTCTTCATTCTTTTATCAACTTCCCAATTTCAAGTTTATCTACAGCAATCAGCTGCAGATGCTACAGGCACCAGCATATATATTATTTAAAGAGCAATCAATACATTGTGTTGGGTTCTTCCAGGTGCTTTTTTTTTTCTCTTTAGAGAAAGTAAAGGAGATTTACATGGGACACTCCCCATTTAGAGATCCGTAATTAATGATAGCCTAAGTCAGGTTTACATTTTCTCCTTCTGGATGGCAGAACAGACCTGTTTAAGTATCACTCCATGTCTTCTGATGCAAGGTAGTTAATCCACAATTAGACAGATCAATCTCTTTGTTATGTTTAAGAAAACAACTGTTTAGAGTAACAACTGCATATGACAAATCCACACACAGTTATTAACTTGTCATCCTGTTTTAAAAGATCTTTAACAATCAGAGTTTATACCATTGGTTAAGGAAAAAAAAAACAGATATTTCATTAAATTCCATAATCATACACTTGCATCTGAAAAAAGCACACTATTCAACAACGTATGGCACTTCTCTGCATTAAAGTGAGGAGCAGTCCTCTGCAACAGGGCTCGGGGCTGGGGGCGTTACAGCAATCCCCCACACACAGGCACACAGCGCAGTTAAGGTTTGGTGTCAAGTACTGTCTGTCCCCACTAACAGTTTTGAGTGTTTAACCACTGTCGTCACGTAGCAGTAAGGAAGGCTGTGTCGACTGACCTTGTTGCTTGTCAGTGAAATGAAAATGTGACAGATCAGAAACAGGTATTTTAAGAAATTATCCAATTGATGGTTATTTCAACTATTCCTATGGGAGCTTGGGAGTCGGGGCGGGGGGGAGGAGAACTTTCTCTTTTTTCTATTTTATTTCTAATCGTTAACATGAGCTTGTAATCTTGCAACAACAACTCCACCTTCTCCTGTGTCTTTTTTTTTTCCTCATAGTAGTTTCTTTGAGCATGCTGTTAAAAGTTCATTTCACACCAAAAAGAAGTGAGGGAACACCAAAAGTGAGGGAACCCCCAAGCAGATGGGTTGCAAACTGACCCTGCTGCAGGCTGCCCTGCCCTGCCCTGCCATCCTGGCACAGTGATGCTGGACGAACCCAACATATCCATTTGCACCTTCCAGATCCCCAAAACCAGTCTGCAACGTAGGGGAAGTGCTGCCATGCCCAACTCTTCTGCCTTATTCCATGTACAAGCCAGAAGACTCTACTGTTTGTCATTCAGCTACTGCTCCTGGAGTACAGAGAAGTTCCACTGAGGGACTTACAAGTTAGAGACAGGAGGCAAGAAAGAACTTAGTACAAATTGCACAGTAACTGCAACTCATATTTTGCTTAGTGCGTGGCTGAAGCACTGAAAATTGCATCCCTCATCTTGCACGTGCACCTGACGCTGCCTCAGTATTCAATTACTTCAGAAAAGCCCTTTGTAATTTACTAAAGGGAGCGACCATGCAACTCACTGCCCTCACTTCACTGCATGGTTCCATGAAGCAGGATTCAGCACTTCTTTCAGGAAGGCATGCTGCCAACATATTGCCAATAAAGTAGTAGCACACTACACTTGTGCTATCTTAAAATACACAGCTGAACGTGCCAAGTTTCCTTATTTGGCAAAACAGTCCATTTGCTTTCAGGATCTTTGACCATCCATTTTTAGACCCAAATCATCCTTTGTATCCAACATGGCCTACAGTCCTTGAGCTTATCATCCTGCATTTTTGCAGCAGCGTATTTATTTAGGCTTTAAAAAAAAAAAAAGAAAAGAAAAAGCCCCAAAACAAACAAACAAAAAAATCAAATAATCCAGTGCCAAAACATGGTCCACTCCTGTCTTGTCTAAGCACAGAATAGAAAAGGAGTTACAGTGATATGGAGCTACAAGTGATACAGCAGAAATGAGTTTTTATAACTACAAAATCTTTTCAGCATATAATGAACTGCTGATGAATAAGATGCAAGCTCCAAGCACAACCCCAACTTACATATATATATATATATCCTAATGTTCTAACCTCCCAGTAAATTAAAAAAAAGTCAAGAACCCCTACAATTCCTCAACTTTCTGAACCAGACTGAGTGGCAGCCCTGCAGATGGTGAGACTGGAGGCATGCATGGCTCTGCCTACCTTAGTTACAGAAGCAACAACATTTGAGCCTGCCCTTTGTCAGAACCTAAAAATTCTGCATAATTTCCATTAATAACACTTCTAATTTTATTTGAATTTATACAACCATTGCTACGGAAAAAAAAGAGCTCAACTCAGCCTGAACAGTTTGAGTACTTCAAGAAACAAACTATTTTCGACTCAAGCTCTGTCAATGGCAGAGACTGAAGGGTTTAAAGGCTCCACTTTAAATAGAAAACATTTTATCTCGGGGAAACCCTAAACTGCTCACTTCGCTTACATTATACCTCGCCAGTGATGCCTGCCAGGAGCGTGCCTCCGACAACACAGAAGACAGAGGAGGCAGCCACCCCTACACCCTGGCCCATAAAGCCGCTCCATCCTTGCACGGGCACAACTGCAGGACCCGGTTTTGCCGGCGTTTCTGTCTTCTCCTCCTCCCTCAGCGAGCCAGGCTCTCCAGGGTTACCATTCTTCACACAATGCCACCGGTATGCAAAGCACATTATGGATAGATAAAACAAGTAGGCTTCTGAGGACTTACAATTTGAGGGCAAAGTCCTGAAAACATCTAACCGCATGCCTCCAGCAGAAAGCTATGATGTTTTCAGGCAGTGACCCAGTTAATCCAGTGCTTTCAAATTATTTCTGCTTCTGGAATTTAGAAAAAGTAATGATCCATGGCTTTCCCGATGGCTCTGTCGCTAAAACTCACAGCAAAGCATGCTGGATAGAGGGGTAACCGATGGCTCTCACACACACACTAAATAAAAAGCGCATACTGGGGGAAAGGAAATAACTTGAACAAAGAAAAATAAAATATATATATTAAGAAAAAAAAAAGCGTCTTACATAAAAAATGAGGAGGGGGGGCGAAACGAAAGGAAAACAGAGGGGAAGATACGCCTCAAAGCCCAACCTGAGGGATTTTACGCCCGAAAGAACACAAAAACGCAGCAGGTGCACTCACAGTGCACGTCTCAAACACCGACTGAGAAGCTGAGGGGTGGCCGAGAACAGAGGCTCCCGGCCAGACGCCGGCGTCCCGCGGCCAGCCCTACGGCAGACACCGAGCCAGCACCGGCCGTGGGGCCGCCGCTCGCCACCGCCCCGGCTGCCCCTCGGCGCGCACCACCGTGCGCCGCCCGGCGAGGCACGGCCGGTCTCCCGTCCCGCAGCGGCGTAGCCAGCGGGACCCCCGCCCGGCCACGCGTGGCCGCCGGTGCCTCCCGCGGGGGGTCCGGCCGGGCGCGGCTGCCCCGCGGAGCGACGCAAGGTCAGGCCGAGCGGCGGG